GCATCCAGTCCGTTCCAAATAAATTTTCTATATATCTCACCACATACATTTTGAGTTTTTTGGTCATTCCATTGAATGTCACATTTGTAATAACTTCTCCTTCAAATTTTATTTTTCTCCCAGTTACCAACCTAGCAATTTTATCGGTTCTCAACATGGTCGGTTTGTTCAATTTTCTCCATGTTTGTACGTTAATAATAGTTAAATCCGATCCGGAATCCAATTGTAGTCTGACTTTTCTGTTTAACATTTCTACTTGCACGTATTTTCGTATGTTTGTCTCGTCCGCTTTTGGTCAGTCCCTCGTGACTCATACTTTGCTTTTGCTTTCTTTCCTAGTCCAACAATGGGAAATTTTATGACCCACTTTTTTTGCACGACAGACAAGTCTTAAAGCGATATTAGCAGTCTTTATTCCAATGTAAAGTCCCACAGAGATAGCATTGACTGGGTGGTATTTTTTTCTGATATTGACTTTTTGAAGTAGAAAAATTTGTTTCATCTGTTTTTGAGGAGGGAAAATTGGTTTGGTTTGTTTTTGAGGATGTGCAAAAACGTGTTTGTCGTTGTACTTTACGTATGTGCGCGATGCCAGATTCTTCTATATCTTTCGAGTTCTTCTTCACGCTTATACATCTCTGACAATATTCAGCCAATTTCTGTAGCGTCAAATCTGGTTCACTCTCCCGTTTTGTAAGAATTCTGCGTCTGATCTCCGAGTCTTTCGTCGAAACCAGGACTTGAATGAATATTAAACTTTTAAAATTGTCCGGGCTGAGTTCAGATAAATTAAAGTCATCACAGTGTTTATTTACAATGGAAGCGAATGTTATATAGTCTTCGCTGTCCTTTTTTGTTAGATTCAGACATTTCCATCTTTTGTGGAATAGTGAGGTATTTGGGCTAAATAGTTCTGTTAACAGTTTTGTGGCTTTCTTGAAAGTTAACTCATTTGTTTTCCTTGGTAGGATGTAGTCTACGAATTTAGTGTGTTCACTAGACCCTAATTTTCTTAGTAGTAGACGTACTTTTCTCGCGTCTGACCAATTCCCGCACTCAACCTCAAATAAATCTTCGTACCTTCTGAAGAAAGCTGCGAAGGTTTTGTCTTCGTCTGGTTTATACGTGAAATCTTCGATAGAGTTCCATATACCATTTTGCGAGAGAACTGTTTCATTTTCGGAATTTTGCCCTTTATTTGTTATTACCCGTAGCAATAATTCTTGTAGTTCCAGATGTTTCTGTTCGTTTTTCTGTTGCTGCTTAAATTTTATTTTCATAAGTTCCAATATGGTTGCCTTAAAATCTTCCATATTTACCGTAATTATGTGTAAGTATTTTTCTTTTAGTTTAGACTTCAGGTCTTTGTTGTCTGTTATTCTGAAACCTTAGTACAAAAAAAAAAAAATTCCTGTGTAGAATTTGTGTCTTTGTTACAACTGTAAAGTTAGTGTCCAAAAAGAAAATTTTCTCTTTTTTTTTATGTTCGCGTAGAACTTGTTTGTTTTTTTTTTTTCTTTTTTTTTTCTCCCCGCCTACGTCGCCTCTGTTATGGACGACCGATTTATGTAGATTCTCCGCGTCGAATTCGTTTCATGAGTTCCTCGTCGCCACTGTTATGGGCGACGGATAGCAAAAAAGGTTTGTCCTCCGAGTAGAATTCGTTTCTTCAGTTCCTCGTCGCCACAGTTATGGTTCAATTTCCTCGCACCACAGTTATGGTCCAAGGTTAGAACCAAGGAAGAACAACATGAACACAAGAGTAGAATAACAAAGATATATTACAACAGAAATATAGTACAAGAAGTTGAAGGTGTTAGTAATGACTGTCCGTCTGGTTTAGAGTGAACTAATATTCTCTCGACTCGTCACACCATTCATTCATTATACCTCTTGAGAGGCGCAGTATTTATAGTGTCAGGGAGACTCCATTATCGTTATAGGTAAGTTCCCATGAGATAGA